GTGAGTCACCTTCTCTAGCCCGGGCCCGGTGTGCGTGTCCGCCCGGGCCAGGTGCTCAGCTCCAAGGGCAGGGGAGGAGGGGGTGCCTCACAGGAGCCCCGGGCCGGCACCCGCTGCCTGCGTGCTCCCAGGGCCGGCGCTGGACGCCCGTCCCAGCCCTCGAGTCTGCTCCCAGCCCAGCCCGTGGCCTGCGGGACTCCCCCTGGGCCTCGATGGAGCTCCTCTGGCCGCCCTCGAAGCCCTTGCTGCTGCTGCTGCTGCTGCTGCCGGCGGTGCCTGCAGCTGGCGGCTCCTGGCAGTGCCCGCGCATCCCCTACAATGCCTCCCGCGACTTTGACGTGGAGTACACGGTGCCCAGCTTCTCGGGCGGCGGGCCGGTGCAAGCCCTGGCCACCTACGACGGCGGCGAGGATGGGAGCGCCGTGTTCGTGGCCACGCGCAATCGCCTGCATATGCTTGGGCCGGACCTGCAGCTCCTGGAGAGCCTGGTCACGGGCCCCGCCGGGGACCCTGGCTGCCAGACGTGTGCGGCCTGCGGCCCAGGCCCCCACGGCCCGCCGGGGGACACAGATGCCAAGGTGCTGGTGCTGGACGAGGCGCTGCCGGCGCTGATCAGCTGCGGCTCGAGCCTGCATGGCCGCTGCTTCCTGCTCGAGCTGGAGCCCGGCGGGGCCGCCCCGCACCTGGCCCCGCCAGCCTGCCTCTTCTCCTCCCACCGCAACCGGCCCGCAGACTGCCCCGACTGTGTGGCCAGCCCTCTGGGCACCGTGGTGACCGTGGTGGAGCAGGGCCACGCCTCTTACCTCTATGTGGCGTCTTCCCTGGACGCAGAGGTGGCTGCGAGCTTCAGCCCGCGCTCGGTGTCCATCCGGCGCCTCCGGGCCGACGCCTCGGGATTCGCCCCAGACTTCGAGGCACTGTCGGTGCTGCCCGCGCACCTTGCCTCCTACCGCATCGAGTACGTGTACAGCTTCCACGTGGGCGCCTTCGTCTATTTCCTGACCGTGCAGCCGGCCAGTGTGGCCGCGGCTCCGGGAGCCTTACACACGCGCCTGGCCCGGCTCAGCGCCCTGGAGACCGACCTGGGCAACTACCGCGAGCTGGTCCTCGACTGCCACTTCGAGCCCAAACGCCGGCGGCGCGCGGCTTCTGAGGGCGGGCAGCCCTACCCGGTGCTCCGGGCAGCCCACGCCGCTCCCGTGGGCCGCCGGCTGGCCGCTGAGCTGAGCGTCGCCGAGGGCCAGGAGGTGCTCTTCGGGGTCTTCTCGGCCGGCGGAGGCAGCAGGGCCGGCGCGGGTCCCAGCTCGGTGGTCTGCGCCTTCCCCCTCGACCTGGTGGACAAGCTCATCGAGCAGGGTGTGGAGCGCTGCTGCCACCCGCCCGTCCACCCAGGCGTCCGGCGAGGCCTCGACTTCTTCCAGTCGCCCACGTTGTGCCCCAACCCGGTGAGCCGAAAGAAGGGGCCCTCATCTGTGAGCAGTGTGCACGTGGGTGAAGCCGGGCTGCTTCCCCCCACCACTGAGAGGGTCTGGGAGATGGGGGGCGGGAGGGGAAGCGTTTCCTCCTCCACCTAATTCCTTAGTGTTGGGAGCGGTGTGAGGGGACCAGCCAAACAAAGGCCGCGCTGGGGGGGCATCTCCCACCCAGTTGCCCTCTCGCCTGTCATGGCCTCTGATGTTTTCAGGCAGTTTCCCTGGTTATGTGAGAGCTGCATTGCACGTACTCATCTCTCTGCCAACGCTGGAGAGAATGGTGGGCACCCCCCCACCTGCCCACCACACATACCCTCAGGGACAGACAGAAACACAGGTCCCCGCACCAGCAGCTGCTTGCAGACTCGCACCCCACTCCCCTCTGCTCACCAGCACGCTTTCACTTTCCCTCTGGGAGCACTTGTTTGTTCTGCTTTCCAAAGAGGGTGGGGCAGGGGTTGTGGAGAATGCCCCCCCTTCCTGTCCCAGGGAGTTTCCTGTGCCTGGAAGTTTGGGGGCTTTTCAGGGAGTCAGCATGGCTTGGGCTTCATGGACACACTCATCCCGGATTGACGTTCCCCGTGGGGTGATTACGGGAGGCCCCAGGACCTGGTGGGAAGGTGACTTGGCTCTAGTAGATTCCAGGAGGCTCACTCCAGTCTTGTGCAAGCAACTATAAACATCTGGAAATGAGTAAAGGCTTAGGAGGGGCTGGCTAGAACTGGCTCACCACGCAGGATTCTCGGGCATTTTGCCACTATAGTCGGGACTCTGCCCAAGTCCCCCTTCTCACCCCAGGCAGGAGGTTTCCCTGCCTATGCTGAATTGTGGGCTTCTTCCAGGAGACCCTACCCAGGTTCTCCCCAGCTGCCGTGTCAGGGAGCTGGAGCAGAGACAAACAGGACATTTCTTAAAATGCTGAGCATAAAACCCAAACTGATTACTTGAAGCCATTGAAACAGTCCTACCCTAGGTTATAAGAAATTAAACCAAGGAAATGGGGTGAATGGCACTGGACAAGTGGTCTTTCAGCAAGCTGGCCCAGAGTCACTGGTCTCAGAGTCTTGGCTGCCCTGTGGCCCTGGCCCGGCTGTAACATTTGCCACCGACTCCTTCCTAGCTCCTGTTGATGGCCCAGAGTTGGGAGAAGCTATACACATGAGGATGGGGAAGTCTTCAGCCTCCCTCCTTCAGTTAGTTCGCCTAGGTTGTGGAGGTCCTAGGGCTGGGGCTCCAGGCTCCCTTGTCAGCCTGGCAGCCCTGCCTGCCCTTTTCTCCTTCCCTCTGAGGAGTCAGAACCTCTCCCCAACTTGGCCAGTGGTCAGCAGATCAGAAGACACCCAGAAGACTTGGCAGTGCTAGGCTCTAGGAAGACTAATCTCAAGCTCTGCCCATAGGCCAGCCCAGCCCCTGGGAGGTGTGTGCACCAGCTTGTACCATGTTTGTCCAGTGACTGGGCATGTACCCTCCAGGGCAATACCCACTGTGTGCTCTTTTTTGTATTTGGTATTACAAATACAAAACAAGGAAGCCTAGGAGGCTTAGAGCTGCTACCTGCCCTCCATGGGTTCAGGTCGGATTTGAGTCTGGGACAGTCGCCCTCCTCTGTGGGGCACTGGACACTAAAGTGTCTTCAGGAGCCATGGGCCACTAAACAAGTCTGGGAAGCCAGAGCTAGGACTCTGGAACCCAGAGCAAGCAGGCAGGGGTGTGGCCCTGACTGGAGTGGGGCCCTCTTTTTCCACCCCTCAGCCCCACCTGTCCCTGAGTCATGCTGAAAACACCTGGCTGATTTCCGATGAGGAACAGGCCTCAAGTTTCCTTACTCAAGTGAGGACAGAGTCCCTGTCCCCACCCACTGGGCCACACACCCAGAGTGTGTTGAGTTTCTGGGCCCAGCTCTGCACCTGCTCTTGTCCCCAGGGCTCCTGATCAGTGCTGAGGTTTGGTGACTGAGTTCCGCATACTTGGTCTGATGGGGGCTTCAGAGGCTCCAGCCTCGAGTGCCCTCAGAGCTAGTGAGGGAGAGTCCCAAGCAACTAGGATTATTGAGCCCCACCTACACTTTGCACCCAGCTCCAATACCTTGCATTCACACCCTGGCTTCCTGATTTCCCAGAAGCTTCCATAGCCCTGCCCTGGAGCACCGAGTGCAGCCTCCAAACACCGTCTGTTAAGAGCAGGGGAGAGGGTATTATCTCCCCCTAGCTTGGCACCCAGGCCTTCAGACCTTGGTTTATTTCTTTTGTACCCTGAAGGAGGTACAGGTAACAGCTGAAAATTCAGGAAGACCTTTGGAGTCTCTGGGAGAAGGGTCATGTTACCGACCCCGTGCTGACAAATTAACCTCAGAGTTCAGCCCTCTGATGCTGGTGGAGAAACTGAAGCCCTAAGAGGGGATGGGGTTTGTTGAAGTGCAGGTCAGAACCAGCAGGGGGCAGGAGAGGACTCTAGTGAAGAGCTCAGACTTCCAACCTGGCTCCTCACCTAGGGGCTTTCAGGCCCTCCTGTTGCCTTAGCTGTAAAATGAGGATGATGAGTGGCCCTGAGAACAGAATGGGGTTAGGTCTGTAAGACTCAGTAACATCATGGGAATGGACCTGACAGGGTAGAGTAAGGCTACCTCTGAGAGCCCTGTGGCGCAGTGGGGGGTAGGGGTGGGGTGACTGGCAGGCCTGGGGTCTTCTCCAGGCAGGCCGGGCGAGGGGTGGGAGTTTGGGCTGCTGTAGTCACTGACAGAAGCGCTGTGTGGGATGAGCCCTGACCCCTTCCCTGGTTTTCCCCAGCCTGACATGGTGGCCTCCAGCCCCAACATCAGCTGCTACCACTTCCCTCTGCTGGTCAGCAGCAGCATCTCACGTGTAGACCTGTTCAACGGGCTGTTAGGACCGGTGCAGGTCACTGCGCTGTATGTGACGTGCCTCGACAATGTCACAGTGGCCCACATGGGCACAATTGATGGGCGCATCCTGCAGGTAGGTCCCTCATCTCCACAGCCCTCCGTCCCTGGGTCCCCATCCCCATCCTCATTTTGCTCACAGCTGACCTTCCCAGGTGGAGCTGGCCAGGTCTCTCAGCTACTTGCTGTATGTCTCCAACTTCTCACTGAGCAGCAATGAGCAACCCGTGCAACGGGATGTCAGTCGCCTTGGGGACCACCTATTCTTTGCCTCTGGGGACCAGGTAAGGTGGGCAAAGGCAGGGCCTGGGGCCAGGGCTGTGGGAACACAGCCCTCCCATCCAATCCAGGGAGGCATTAACATAGAGGCCTCACCACCCTGATCTACAATGAGACCATGGAGGTCTCTGGGGCCTCGGGCCCTCAAACCCCTCCAGCCACCCTGAGCCACTTTTCTGCCACTCCAAGGTCTTCCAGGTACCCATCCGGGGCCCTGGCTGCCGCCACTTCCTCACCTGTGGGCGTTGCCTGCGGGCACAGCGTTTCATGGGCTGTGGCTGGTGTGGGAGCATGTGTGGCCGGCAGAAGGAGTGTCCTGGCTCCTGGCAACAGGACCATTGCCCACCTGAGCTGACTGAGGTATGGCTTGCCTGGCTGGGCACAGGGAAGTGTGAGACAAGCTGGGCCTGGGGTGGGGAGTAGCAGGTCTTGACCGTGACCTTCCTCAGGCCTGTGATGTCCTCAAGGAAGGCATTCTTGGCAGAGAAGACGGCACATGTAAAGATCTGGAGACAGAAAAGTGTTAGAGTGAGGACTAGCCCATGACTTAAAATGAATGGAGTGCGGGGCAGGCAAGGGGTCTGGCCAGAAAGTTTGGAGGAAGCAGTCAGGGCTTAGAGGCCTGGCCCACAAAGGTTGTCTGCTCCCCCTCCAGTTCTATCCTCACAGTGGACCCCTAAGGGGCAGCACGAGGCTGACCCTATGTGGCTCCAACTTCTACCTGCGCCCTGACGGTCTGGTGCCTAAGGGCACCCATCAGGTCACCGTGGGCAAGAGTCCCTGCCGACTGCTGCCCAAGGACAGCTCAAACCTCAGGTACAACTGTTCCATGCCCTTCCTATCCCTGATGGGGGCAACCAAGCAGTCCCTTCCCTGGGAGACCCTATCCTTTGCTTATCAGGGGCAAGGAGGGATGAGGCAAGCTGCAGTGGCTCTGGCTGCTTTGTGTCTGTGGAGACATCTCTGTCCCTTCTTGAGCCTGCATATGCCCTACTTGTCCCTTGAGTCACGGAGCAGGCAAGGTTAGTCCCTGCCCTACAAGATCCCACCTGCTCTGCAGGAAGGCGGGATGGAGAGAGGCCACCCTCGGGCTCAGAGGAGCCTGTGATTTGTGTTGGGCATGCAGCCAGGCCTGTGTGGCCCCTGGCTGACCTTGAGTTCCTCGGTGCTCTAGCCCACTGTCCTGGAAGGGCTTTGTAGAGGAGCTTGAGTGTGAGCTGGAGCCCTTGGGTGCACAGGCAGCTGGGCTGGCCAACATTAGCCTCACCGTGACCAACATGCCACCGGGCAAGCACTTCCGGATAAACGGCACCTCCGAGCTGCATGGCTTCTCTTTCATGGTGAGGCCTCCTTGTCTTGTCTGTGCCCTTGGTCAGCCGGGCAGTGGGCAGGGAAGGGCTTGGAGTGGGGGGCCTCCTACACCGAGCTAAGCCACCTCCATTCCCTCTTAGGAGCCAGTGCTGAAAGAAGTACAACCCCTCTTTGGCCCACGGGCAGGGGGCACCCGCCTCACCCTCAAAGGCCAGGGTCTGTCCATAGGCACCAGTCGGGCTGTTCTGGTCAATGGGACCGAGTGCCTGCTGGAACAGTAAGTGCTGGCAGGCAAGGGATGGGAGCCACAGGGCAGAGGGAGGACGGCTCAGTCATGTGGTCAGGTCCAGGAAGAAGGGTCTATTGACTCATCTAGCTCAGAGGTGGTTTGGGGATGACAAGAGAGACCATCACAAAGTGCATTGCCTCCAGCCAAGGCTCGGAGGAACCTGTTCCCTCCCTGTCTTCTTAGAGGTCTTCCTGGGACAGCCCTGGCTTCGGGCAGACCCAGAGAGTAATTTCAGGTGGGGAGATGACCAGCAGAGGAACTGGGAGGCAGACCCCTGGAGGACGTGGGCTTGGGCATCAACTGATGGTGGCCCTGAGCCCAGCCCCCCTGTTCTGCAGGGTCAGTGAGGGGCAGCTGTTATGTACCACGCCGCCCGGTGCTGCTTCGGCCAGCGTTCCCATTCACCTGCAGGTGGGGGGCGCCAAGGTGTCTGGCTCCTGGACCTTCGACTACCGGGAAGACCCCATCATGCTGGGCATCAGCCCCAGCTGTGGCTACACGTAAGTGCTACCTCCTTTCCCTCTCTGGTCTCCTAGAGATGAGGGAAGCACCCTCAAAGAGCACCCAAGCCCACCACCCTGCTCTCCTCCACAGCGGCTCCCACGTCACCATCCATGGCCAGCATCTGACTTCAGTGTGGCACCTAGTGCTGTCATTCCATGATGAGCTTATGACAGTGGAAAACAGGGTGAGCGGGCTCTGAAAGCTGTCAAGTGGGCACTGGCCAGGAGGGAGGAAGGCCGGACCAGTCCCCTGAGTTCCAGCCCCACCCCATGCTGGCCTGAGGAGACTGGGGTGGCCAAAGGTGGGATGCGTGGCTAACCTCTCTCGCATGGGCCCCAGCAGTGTGAGGGGCAGCTCCCGGAGAAGCATCGGTGCCGCCTGCCCGAATACGTGGTCCGAGGCCCCCAGGGGTGGGTGACAGGGAACCTGAGTGTCCAGGGGGATGGAGCTGCTGGCTTCACACTGCCTGGCTTTCGCTTCCTGCCCCCACCCCATCTACCCAGCACTGACCTGGCCCCACTGAAGCCCGAGGAACATGCCATTAAGTTTGAGGTAAGTGTGGGGGACGGAGGGAGGGCGCAGTGGAGGGTTAGGGTTGAAGCCTGCCCAGAGGACATGGGGGCGCTGGCCAGTCCTCCTGATTGTCTCCACAGTACATTGGGCTAGGAGCTGTGGCTGACTGTGTGGATGTGAACGTGACCGTGGGTGGCAAAAGCTGCCAGCATGAACTCCGGGGGGATGTGATCATTTGTCCCCTGCCCCCCTCCCTGCAACTGGGCAAGGACGGTGCCCCACTGCAGGTAGGTAGCTCGGATGGCCCTTCATAGGAGACATGGGCAGGGGTCTGCAGGCTGGGCCTGAGCTGCCACCTGCCCCCAGGTCTGCGTGGATGGTGAATGTCACATCCTGGGCAGAGTGATGCGACCAGGCTCAGAGGGTGTCTCACAGAGGACTCTCCTTGGTGTCCTGCTGGCCCTGGTGCTGCTTGTGACTATATTGGCCGTTGCGCTGGTCTTCAACTACCGGTGGAAGAAGCAGCAAGGTGAGCTCTCCACTTCCATCCTAACTCAGCCTCTACACTCAGACTGGCATCTCCAAGTCCCCATATCCTCTCTCTGCCCAGGCCTTGGGGGTCTGCCCACACCCCCTGGGTGGAGATCGGCCTCTAGGAGCTTGGAGAGGCTGTCTAGCAGGGCCCTTCTTCCCACAGCCTTTTTTCCGTACCTGGATGACCCAGCGTCTTTGGACCAAACCACCAGGGCCATGCCTCTGCCTCTGCTCCAGTTGCACTCTGACTCCAAAAATGGCCTTGGTGAGACGGGGGAGGTGCTCGAAGCTGGGGCCATATCCTCTGCTCCACAAGCCCCTCACTCCCTCTCCTCCACAGCAGCTCCTGCCATGGATGGTCTGGACTCCACCACTCAGGTCCACAGAGTGTCCTGCTCAGACAGCGGGGATGGGTCCTGTGTTCCACTGCTTCGGACAAAGTCCATCCAGCTTGGGGATCTGGACCCTGTGCTCCTGGCCGAGGTCAAGGATGTGCTGATTCCCCATGAGCGGGTGGTCACCCACAGTGACCGAGTCATTGGCAAAGGTTTGGGGGCCAGGCCAGGTGGGGCTGGGGCAGGGATGGAGTACTGACATGACATGGGCTCAAGGGACAGTTGGGCAGGACTGTCACCAACAGTCCTACTCTGGCCTTCTCACCAACCAGTATGACCTTGGGCATTCCAAGTAACTCTCTGAGCCTCCAGCTGCTTGTCTGTGAAGGAGGAATTCGTTCTGTCCTCAGTGGGTTCCAGTGCAGATCATGCAGGCCTGGGAGGGCCGCAGGCGCTGCCATCGAGCAGCCACTGCTTGTTTTCAACGTATGATTGGCCAGCTGGTGCTCTGGGGTCCGGTTGCCAAAGAGAGGGTGTGGTGCGAGCCTTGGGCTCCTCTCACCATCTCCCCTCGCCAGGCCACTTTGGGGTTGTCTACCATGGAGAATACACAGACGAGGCCCAGAATCGAACCCACTGTGCCATCAAGTCATTGAATCGTAAGTGAGACGGAGGCTGGGTGGGCCCTCATCCCTGCTGTGTCAGCCTCTCGCTGAGCGACCCTGAGCAGGTGACCCTTCTCCGTTTCCCCGCCCTGGGCCTGACTCTCGCTGCCCCGCAGGCATCACGGAGGTGCAGGAGGTGGAGGCCTTCCTGCGTGAGGGGCTGCTCATGCGTGGCCTGCACCACCCCAACGTGCTGGCCCTCATCGGAATCATGCTGCCACCCGAGGGGCTGCCCCGTGTGCTGCTGCCCTACATGCGCCACGGAGACCTGCTCCGGTTCATCCGCTCACCCCAGCGAGTCAGTGCCCAGCTGGCCCTGGGGTGGGAGGTGGCCCTGGGTGGGGAGGTGTGGGCAGCAGCCGGGGATGAAGCTGTTCTGCCCTCGCCTGCTGACCCACCTGTCCCCCCAGAGCCCCACGGTGAAGGACCTCGTCAGCTTCGGCCTGCAGGTAGCCCGCGGCATGGAGTACTTGGCAGAGCAGAAGTTTGTGCACAGGGACCTGGCTGCTCGGAACTGCATGTGAGGGGCTGGAAGAGTTGGGGTGAAGTGAGGGGCCAGAGTGCCAGGGTCTACCGCTGCCCCAAAGGCACCTTTGAGAAGGGGCCACGTTCGAGCCCTTGCTGTGTAGCCCCGGGCATGTCCTCCTTCTCTCTCTGGCCCTCGGCTCTCCTGCCTGCCCAGTTCAGGCTTAGATGGGACTCTGGCTCTGAAACCCTGTGAAGACCTGGAACAGGTGGGCCCAGGGCCTGGTGGGGCCAGTTCTGAGCGTGATTCCCTCCTCCCAGGCTGGATGAGTCATTTACGGTCAAGGTGGCTGACTTCGGCCTGGCCCGAGGCGTCCTGGACAAGGAATACTACAGCGTTCAGCAGCACCGCCATGCTCGCCTGCCTGTCAAGTGGATGGCGCTGGAGAGCCTACAGACCTACAGGTTCACCAGCAAGTCTGATGTGGTGAGGCCCCACCTGCCCCAGAGGCCACATGGCCTCAGAGTCCCGGGAGAGCACTTGGCACTTGGCTTTGCCCCTCCAGCTCCAGATGATGGCCCGAGCCCAGGGAGTCTCCAAGCTGGGCACCCCCACAGCCCATTTGCCCATCTCTTGGGCAGGAGGAGGCTGTGAAGTCACTGGCTCCCCAACACTCCAGGCCCTGCTCAGTTCCCACTCTGGACTGGCTCAGGTGGCGGGAGGAGATATAGGGAAGATGCTTGTGAGCTATTGAGGAACGGGCTCTGTTTGGGGGTGGAGGCCCCATTTCCAGTGAGAGGTCTCTGGGAGGTAGAAGACCTGGGGGGCCCACCTACCCCCAAATTTGGGATGAGAGTTGAGTCACCTCACTTTTCCCCTCCCACAGTGGTCATTTGGTGTGCTGCTATGGGAGCTGCTGACACGGGGCGCCCCACCGTACCCCCACATCGACCCTTTTGACCTCATTCACTTCCTGGGCCAGGGTCGTCGCTTGCCCCAGCCTGAATATTGCCCCGATTCTCTGTGAGTATGGAGAGGTGGTAATGAGAAGGGAGGTGGGCCCCAGAGACAGGAGAGGGCAGGAGGCAGAGTTCTTGCCTCGCACTCTGGCTGGTCCTCGGGGTAACCTGGAAGGGGCCCTCTCCGAGCCTTAGTTTTCTCATCTGTGGATTGGTCCTGCCCCCATTCAGGGCTGGGCGCAGGGAGGAGATCATGGTTGCCATGGTAACAGCATTCCCATCTTCGTGTCTGGGTTGAAGCCAGTGATTTGATTTCCCAGCACTCTCCCCCCACCTCTGTCAAGGGGGACTGTTTCCCATCTTTTCCACTCACTTAATCTCAAGGAAAGGTTCCATTAGCTCCCACACTAGCCCCCTCCACAGCTCCAGATCAGATGTTTTTTTTCAAGGGATCTAGTTTCAGATTCCTCATTCTTGGAGGCACGATGACAGCTGTGTTGTCATCGGTGCCTATGGGGTGGGTTTGGTGCCGAGGTGCATCTTTCTCAGCAGCAGCGAATGCCTCAGCTGTACCCAGGCCTTTGTGGTTAGGACAGGAAGAACCAGGTCCCAGGTCCCGGCTCGGGCTGCGCCCCGGAGGGGCTGAGTAACCTCCCGCACAGCCCTGCCTGCCTGAGGCCTGATCCCCATTACTCACTTCACTGACGAATCTGGCTGGAGTGAGGGAATTAACCTCACTGTCTATCTGCCTCCGGCGGAGGCTCCCTGAAACAGACTCTGAGGTGGGGATTTTAAAAAATATATTTTTATTGAGAGAGAGGAAGGGAGAGGGAGAGAGAGAAAGAGAAACATCAACTAGAGAGAAACATCGATCGGCTGCCTCCTGCACATCCCCTCCTGGGGATCAAGCCTGCAACCCCGGCTTGTGCCCCGACTGGGAATCAAACCAGCGACCTTTTGGTGCATGGAACGACTCTCAACCAACTGAGTCACACCGGCCAGGGCTGTCTCTGGGCTTTTAATCCCCATTTCATCAGACCTGGGCTTCCTTCCTAGATGTGTGATGATAACCATGATAGCTTGTGAGCTGGGCCCCCCGCAGGCATCCTGTCATCTTATGCCTAACAGCTTTGGGATCAGAGGAGAATCCAAAGGCACAGAGAGGTTAAGGAACTTGACCCAAATCACACAGCCCAGGACTTGAGGGCACAGGAGCCCAGGCTCTTAACCTCTCAGGCCTCTCGACCTTAGGGTGGGAAACAGGACTGGAGCAGCAACCACAAAGATGAGAAGAGCTGTCCCTGATTGGGCTATGCTGGGCATTAGGCCCTATCACCCGTCTTCATCCCTATGTGGCCTGCCAGGGGGCTAATGGGGCAGCCTAGAATCTCCGGGTGGGGGTATCCCTGCCACAGACACTCTCCTTCCCCCGCAGGTATGCAGTGATGCAGCGCTGCTGGGATGCGGACCCCACAACGCGACCCACCTTCGGAATGCTGGCAGGGGAAGTGGAGCGAGTGGCAGCAGCTCTTCATGGGGACCACTACGTGCAGCTGTCTGTGGCCTACGTGAACCTGGGCCTTGCTGCCTCCAGTGAGGCAAACATGCGCCCAGAACTGTCATTGTCCCCACATGTGCACAGGAGCACCAGCCGGCCTCGGCCCCTCTCAGAGCCACCAAGGCCCACGTGACCTCAGCCCTAGGCAGGCCCTGAGGGGCTGGAGCTGCATAACCCCTCCAGGGAGTTAACCTCAGGCTGCCTCTGGCCTGTGCCGAGCCAAGGGGTGACCCAAGTTGCCTCTGCCCTGTCCCTGACCCTTAACCTTCAGGCTATAGGAGGGGAACAAGGCACACTGGCCAGCTCACGCCACAGAGGGAGCCAGTGAGGGTGAGCCTTGCTGCAGTGAGTGCTTATGGGGCTCCTGCTGTGTGCCTGGCCTGCTGGGCGCAGGGGACTCAACCATGACCAGACACTGGCCCATGAACTGATAAATGAACAAATGACTATTTAAGCACATAAAAGGAAAAGACAGGTGGCCCTGGCCACTGTGGCTCAGTTGATTGAGCATCACCCAGTGTACCAAGAGGTTGCTAGTTCAATTCCCAGTAGGGCACATGCCCGGGTTGCAGGCACAATCCCCAGTAGGGGGTGTGCAAGAGGTAGCCCATCGATGTTTCTCTCATCAGTTCTCTCCCCCGTTGATGTTTCTCTCTCTCTTTCCCTCTCCATTCCTCTCTCAAATCAATAAAAACATTAAAAAAAAAAGAGAGACAGGTGGCTTTGAGGGAACGGAGGACAGCATTAGATAGAAAGGTGAATATGGATGTGAGGGAAGTCCCCAGGAGGTGACATTTTTGCTAAGACCCTGTCAGGTGGAAGCTGCGCCGGAAGCAGAGTTGGAAAAGAGACTGTGAAGCTGAGAAGCGTTGGGTCAATGAGAAGGTTCCAGAGAACAGGAAGGTAGGCAAGACTCAGATCCAGGTTGCAGGACCCTGGAGACTCTTGGATGGAACCAAGAGGGTTGTTGAGTACTCAGGATTGCAGCAGCCAGGATGTCTTCTCCTGCCGACCAGTCTACCTGTCCCCTTCCCTGGGCTCTAGCCCCTCTCCAGGGCTCCCTTTGCTGCCTGCAGCCTCCCCCCATCATATGCACACTGTCAGGGAGTAGATACTGCTCCCCCTCCCCCTACCCTGCCAGCATTGTCCTTGCAGCCTTGAGAGAGCTGAGCTAGCAGCAAGGCCTCGGATCTACATTTTCAGGCACCAACTTCGAGGTGCTGCTGACTGCCCAGGCTATTTATACTCGCCAAGGCCACTCTACAATAGCCACTAGAGAGACCAGTCCATTGGAGAGGAAGGACAGCCTCCTCCTAGTACTAACCCTCGCCACAGTGAAGCTGGGGTGCCAGGGTGACGGCCCAGGACATACATCGTGGTAGTTCCTCTCTCTTGCCCAGGACTCCCATAGTCTATCCTGCCAGTTTGAGGCACCCCAGTTCACCCTAAGGGGAGCACATTCCCTCCTGTGAGTCCCCAGCTCAGGATGGGCCCAACCCCCAGTGGGGGGCATACAGGAGGCAGCCAATCAATGTCTCTCTCTCATCAATGTTTCTATTTCTCTATCCCTCTCCCTCTCTCTAAAAATTCAATAAAGACATATTTAAAAAAAAGAAATTTTATAAAAAACAGAGAGAGGAAGGAGGTCTCTGAATCGGAGGGGAGATTGGCAAGGAGAGGGGTCCCAGAAAAGGGAGATGGAAGAGAGCTCCAGGGATGTCGACTTTCCACTGCAGCCAGAATGTGGCGCTTTGGGCCTGTTTCTGGGCCAACGGCCTCCAGGGCTAAGATTCTCCAGGGAGGGGCCCCAGTTAAGCCAGTGCATGGGCTCCTGGATCATGACACAGTTGTACCCCCTCCCAGTGCTGCAGTCCTCAAGTCCATCTGAGTGTCAGGAGCTGGAACTGGGTTTTAAATTCCTGAGTAGGCCACTGGGGAGGAGAGAAAGGGAGGGTTAGTTCTAGGCCCCCACATAGGCTACGGGTCCAGGAGGTTCTGAGTGGCTCCCAGGGCTCATGAAGGCTGGACTGCCTTTCTGTTTGGGGGTGGCCTCAGTGGTATCTCAGGTATGACGGCTGACCCATGCAAGGGGGAAGATTGCTGATGGCCATGGTGAGCCTGAGCCTGCCACTAGGGTGGCATGGCATAAGCAGAGGTTTCTTCCAGGGCTTTGGGATCCAGCCTTTCCACCATGGGCTGTGGAGAGTCACCAGCTTCTCTGCCTCATCTCTCTTCATCGCTGCCCAGTGGGGCTCGGGGCAAGAGATGCCAGCAGAGGCCAGAGGGAGGCCAGCATGGGAGCTGGGGCCGAGGAAGCAGCAGAGGACTCACATCCTCCTCAGTGCCCGCTGGTATCACTGTTGTCTGGCACCTGGAGGCACGCACGGAGTAGACTGATCTGCTCTGATGGGAACCATGAGCCTGGTCTGAAATTCCCCTTACGCCTTAACCCCAGTCTTTTAGAGCATTTTCCCAGGGATCAGAAACCTCTTTGGGTGTCACACTGGAGGGCTCCAGATATAGTCTTATTTCAAACCCTGGGACCTTCCTGGACAGCGGCTTCATCCATCATTCCTCGTGCAGCCCAGGTCTACCCCTGGTTCCATTCCATGAACTAAATTCCCTCACCTGTAGGAGAGAGCAGGACTCTCTGGTGCTGGGGTTGGGTGGGGGACATGGGCGCTGTTGCAAAGGCCTGAGGCTCCTGGAGGCCTGGGCTGCAGCTCGAACGTGTTTCCTCTGCCTGGGACAAGCAGCCCTGGAAATCAGTAGCTGAGCACTGAGCCTCCACTCACCAGGCCCTGATAAAAAACATGCTGGGTTTCGGCCAGTATGATTCAGTGGTTGAGCATAGACCCATGAACGGAGAGGTTCCCGGTTCTATTCCTGGTTCGATTTCCTCTCAGGGCATGTGCTGGGGTTGCAGGCTTGATCCCCAGTAGGGGGCATGCAGGAGGCAGCCGATCGATCTCTCTCTCATCGATGTTTTTATCTCTGTATCCCTCTCCCTCTCTCTCTAAAATCAATAGAAAACATATTTAAAAGCAACAACAACAACAAACATGCTGGGCTGGAGAATCCCCGAGGTGAAGGCCTCAGGGGCTGAGCTCCTCTTCGCCCATAGCCTCTGCTCTGCCAGGTGCGCGTCCAGCCAGCCAGGAGCAGGGCTACACCAGCCTGGAGGAGTGGGGATGACTCGATGGAGCACGCCTGGCATTCCCCGCCCGGCAGAGTGGGGCCAACTGAATGTCAGTCCTTTGGGGTTTGTTCCAGTGGGGGCTTTAAGCCAATGAGCATAATGCCAGGAGGGCCTGGGCAGCTGCCGTGTTCACCTCTGGCTCTGGTGGCCCCCTGGGTGGGCTGGGTTCTGCATGTCTAAGGATGGTGACCTGGGGCATGGTCTTCACATTTGGTCCTTTCTTGGTGGGAGTCCTTAGCCCAAAGCTAGGCAGCAGGTGCCCAGCCCATGGCAGAGTCTGCCTGGCCCAGCTCAGTCCTGAGGTGTGGCACCTGAATCCCAGCCACCCCCTACTGATACCCTCAGACACTCTCAGAAATGACTGTTTCTCCTGAGCCGCATCCCTATCAGTTTATCCCAGACAGGAACTCAGGACCCCCGCCTCTCTAAGGAAGGGTGGCTCTGCTCCTGCGCTTCCCCGTGGCCTCTGCATCTCGCTCTCCATTCCTTCAGTGCCCTGAGCATCCTCGGTCCCTGGTCCCCAGGATGTTCATCCCAGGCCCATCAGGGACTGTGGAGCTGCCCTGGAGAGGGAGGCAACAGCCCAAGCTCTCCCCTCACTTGGTAGGATGAGGAGCCCTGGACCGGCTTCTGCCCCTCCATGGCTACCCATGGCCCTCCTCCACCCATCTGGCAGCCCTCATCTGGGAAGGCAAGCAGGGGCACCAAAGGCCCTGGCAGGCTGCCCTTTGCTGGGAAGATGGCAAGAGGCCTTCATGTTTGGCCCTCACCAGTCTCACTGTTGCTCTGTAGAGCTCAGGGGCTAGGCTTGAGCTCAGGTGGTAGGAGCTGAGGGAAGTTGCTGAATCCCAGGGGCTCGGTGTGGGCAGAGGCAGAGAGGGCACAAGAGGCTCCCAAAGCCGGGGCCCCCTCACCTTCTCTCCTCCCTGCTGCTTTCACGTTGGCTTAGCCACCTGTGCATTTGTGGTCAGCCTGGACTGGACACATGGGATGTGGGAATGCATTGGGAAGTCAGGGGATTCAAAGCAGCCGGTGGCCAAGATCATGGAATTCGATCAGCTTTGAAGCCAGCGCCCTCCCTCATACCACAGTCCACCGGTACAGACTGGACCATGGACACTGAGTCCGCTAAGGAGTCAGCCCCAGCCCTGGCCTCCATGGTAGTGACAGCTTCAGCCAGGCCTCAGTCCTGCTCCTCCAAGCTGGGGATTCCCCTCTTCAAAGGGGCAGCCCCAGTCACCCTGCCCACATGGGCTCCTGACTTGGTGTCTGTGACCCAGCCACCTGTTCTTATTTTATTTTTAAATATGTTTTTATTGATTTTAGAGAGAGAGGAAGGAAGAGGGAGAGAGAGAGAGAAACATCATTGATCGGCTGCCTCCTGCACGCCCCCTACTGGGGATGGAGCCCATAACCCAGGCACGTGCCCTGACCAAGAATGGAACCAGTGACCCCTTGGTGCATGGATTGATGCTCAACCACTGAATCACACCGGCCAGGCCAACCACCTGTTCTTAAGTCGCCCCCACCCTGCATTGGGCCTGGGTTCCTTGGGGACCCCGAGCGGGGCAGCTCTCTTGCATCCCTTCTGCAGGCATGGTTGGAGGTCCCCTCTTAGTGGTCGTGAAGTTACGTGTGCTTCTGGCTGCACTCACTTTGTCCCCACCTCTGCTGGCTCCCGGGTGGGGGACTGCTCCCAGGGAAGGTGAGGAGCCCACCCCAGCCTCCTGAGCGCGCGGTGGCAGCAGTCAGGGTGACTGTGCTGCGGCCCTCCCTCCGGGCCGGTGCGGCTGGCCATCTTTCACGCAGAGTTACGTAAGCTTGAGTCAATTGGAGCTCAGAGCGGTTCATTGTGGGCTATTTTTAAGCTGTAACACATCACAGCAGAGGGGTCACTGCACTGAGGCTTGCAGGAATGGTTGTTTAAACATCTGTTATTTAAATTTCCCTATGCCTTAGAGCTTAAAAGCCACATCCTCCTGGCAGTCTTGGGTTCTGCCTTCCACAGCCTAGATCTGGAGTGGATTATGACCCCTAATCCCTCTGTAGGTCCCCTTAGAACTGGGCTCCTCTGCACCCTGGCAGCGTTCCTTTAGGGTCAGGTGGGGGTTGGGGGGCAGGGAGGAAGAGGTGCCAGCTCCTTCGACATGGGGCTGCCTCCATGGAATGGGTGCACCCTGGCCAGGAGACTTCAGGGAAGCAGGGGATCAGGGCTCCCAGGTCATTTGGATAGCTCTAGGGAGGGGGGTCAGGGGAGGAAAACATAGACAGAGCACTGGGTGCAGAGCTGGGAGACCAGAGTGCATCCTTCCTCCTTGGGGCCTTGGTGTCCCATCGGTGCCCAGAGAGGGTTAGAGCACAAGATTCACTGGGGTCTTTTCAGAATCTGCCCTCTGCCTGGGCTGTGCTCCTGCCTGGAATGCCCTCTCTCTGCAGATCTAAACGCTACCCATCTCAGCTTCTGGGCTGAAGGGTTTGCACCTGCGCCCCTGGACAGTGGACAGGGATGAACCTCTGGGAAGTAGGCCTGCTGTTCACTCTGTTCTCAAGTGGCTGGCTGCACTGGGCGCCACTCAGGCTCCACTCACTGTCTGTCTTATGATTTGTTGGTTTGTGTGTTTTTTTCTTTCAAATTTTTTCTGATTCTAGATTTTTGGAGATGTCCAGAGTCTTCCCAGGGCACCAGAGGGACAGGCAAGTGGAAGAGTGGAGGTCAGGGACTGGACAAAGCTATCTCCTGGGGACACAACAGAGCCCCAAACATGTCTGCACTGGACAAGCAGGTGGGGGAGCTCCCAGTAGAATGGAGCCCTCTGTGCCCCTCCCTTTAATGCCCTTCTGCCCACCATCCTTGGGGCCTCCTGTGTGAGCAGATTCCAGCCTGATCCACAGGAAAGAAGGCTCTCAGAGTGACCGACTCTGCCCATCTCCCCCTCTCCCCTGGAGTTGGGGCCTTCCCTCCACACCTACCAGGAGGGGGCCAGGTGAGGTATGGGGAGGCAGTGCCGCACCTGCCCTCACAGAGGAGACTCTGCATGGCCCTCAGACTGGGCTTCTTCCAGGTCCTTCTTGGCCCCTCTGTCTCAGACAGTCCTCAGCCTGGGGAATGGGCTCAGCCTGGGGGAGGGGCTCTCAGGTTGCCATGGCAACACGTTGGCCCTCCTCACTTTCCAGAATCAGAAATAGAATTGGATGCCCTTCTTCCTAGTGAGAGACTATTTAAAAACATGTTGGGGGGAGGGGTGGGGGAGGGGACAATGTTCTTGCTTGATCCCTGGGGGCTGGGCAGAAGGGACCCTGCCCCGGAGCCTCCGTAGCTGCCCCGATGCCCCTGCCCTTAGATGGGTGAAATGGGGGGCTTTGGCCAGCCAAGAGTCCTGAGTACAAAGGACTCAGCCTGGTCTCTCAGGGTGTGTAGCTGGTCCCTACTCAACACTGGCAGGTTCCCGGGAGGCCACTGGCTTCATGGTGCCAACAGGGAAAATGCTCTACCCTAGGCCTGGGCCACCTGCTAAGCTACTTGGAGGAGCAGGTCTATGGGAGACACCGGCTTGGGTGGGGCTGCAGCTCTCAGGAGAGAGGCTTGTTGGCTTCCCTCCAGCAGGGTCCATGCCCGAATGGCCCTAGGCATGGCAGCCAGTGGTAGCACCATAGCTCCCAAAGTGAGGGTCCAGAGCCTGGTGGCCTGGCTTCAGGTTCTGGCTCTACTGCTCACTAGCTGAGACTTCTCTGTGCCTTGATGTCCTCATCTGTAAAATAAAGATGTAGTGCCAGGCTCCTTGAATTGCTGCGAGGCTGCGTTCCATGTGCTCAGCGTGGCCTGGCACAGAGGAAGGGCCCAATCAATGGCAGCCACTCTTCCCGTTAGGGGGTATGGTGTTTGCCTCCCAGGTGGGAAGAGCCTTCTCCTCTCTCCAGACTGCCTTCCGCCTTTCTTCGTGGGCTGCACCCTACAGCTGGCTCTGCTCCCTCCTCCTGGACACCTCAGGTCGCTTGTTCACAAAGTCCCAGTCCTGGAAGGAGGATTGCGCCCCTATTCTGCAGGAGGTAGGGGGTGGCTCAGCAATTAGACAGTCAGGAGGCTCCCAGGGCCTCCCTCCACGCCTCAGCAGCCCTCCCAGGTGCAGCCCAGCTCAAGGGAAAAATCCAACCTCCCAAAAGTAGTTTTCTTGGGGTCAGAGATTAATGAAGTGAGCAAGCCACAGGCCCTTGGGCTCTGCTCCTTTCCTGGGCCATAGTGTGTGGTGAGCAGCAGTGTCCAGAGACAGCTGTCCCCATTCTTTTTTTTAACGATTTTTTAAAAATTGATTTTTACAGAGAGAGGAAGGGAAAGAGAGAGAGAGAGAAACATCAATGCGAAAGCTAAACATCCGTCGGCTGCCTCCTGCATGCCCCCTGCTGGGGATCAAGCCTGCAACCTGGGCATGTGCCCTGACCAGGAATTGAACCGGCAACCTTTTGGTGCACGAAACGATACCCAAACAACAGCCACACAGGCCAGGGCCTGTCCCCACTCTTAAATGCAGGTAGCATCTAGGGAAAGGAAGGGGCTCAGGGGGCCTGAGACCTGGCTGAGTCAGCTCTGCCCAGTGCTGAGTTAGGGAGGTGCAGACGCAGCACAGTGCTAGCCTTGGTCCCTGGTCACATCACTTCACACCCTGGGGCCAACTGTAAGCACTATTTTTAACCTCTGTGAAAACACACTGCTTCAGAGGACAAGCCTACAGCTGCATTCACCACAAACCTGTTTCTTAGGAAGAAAGACTGAGGCCTGAAAGGACCCAGTCCTGGAGGACAGAGGGAGGAGGCCCAGAGCTCATAGCTGGGGGGATGGAAGAGGGCTTGACCCAGCCCAAGGTCAGAACCTCCAGGCTCAGGCCTTGGGCAGCGAGCAATTTCCCAAAGGGCTGCCTAGGCCTGTCCTCTGTGGTTGCAAGGGCACGTCTTGGCCTGGGCTGGTGGTCTAGGCAGGTCCCACTCCTCGCTGCCCCTCTGTTTGCCCATCTAAGAAATGGAGAGTGGAGTTGCACACCTGGTCTAGTAGCCTACATTTCCTAAGTGCCCATCCTATGCCCAGTCCTGCAGCTACGATGCCTCCACTGTGCACCAGCCCTGTGCTCACTGTGTGGCTAGCCCTGTAACCACTATGTCTTTACGGTGCTCCAACTTATAATTGCCACTCGGCTGGCCCTGTGTTCACTGTGACCTATCCCTATGCCCAATGCTCTACCCCCCTTCTGGCCACGGTGCAGCTGACACAATGTGACAAAAGCTAGAACATTCTGACTTAAGAATTCTGAGCTGAGGCCCCACCCCCACCCTGAGGTCCCCATCAGTACTATGGGGGATACCGGCCCTAGGTTTCAGGGACATGTGGCTCTGGGGAGGGGGCTCTGCGAGGCACAGGCAGAGGAGAACCATCTGGAGCAGAGAGATTGCCAAGGAGCTTCTGTCCCTGGAGCGGGAGCCGAAGAACCTGGGGGAGGGGAGCTTGGGCCTGAGCCTGGGCCCCTCACCCTCTGCTGCCTTCCAGGACTGAGTGGTAAAGGAGCTTTGGCCCCGCAAAGGGGCCTCATGTCACGTACTTGGAACTGCATCTCTGGGTCAGGACTTTGTCTCAAGTTGCCACATGGAAGATTAGGAGAAAGAAGGAAGTCTTGCCTCTGAGGTGGACTAGGAGCCCAGGAGCTTCCTTCCTCGGCATCTCCCCTGCCTGCCTTTCTCCCTGGGGCTTGCACTGCCCTCAGGCTAGGGCTGGCTGAGCAGAGTGGTCACCTGGCTGGTAAGGGGAGAGGAGGCCAGCCTCGGATTGGCTCTACTGGGCTAACTGGGCCTTTATGTCTCCCAAGGGTCCCTTGGCAAACCCCCATTTCTCAGGCGGGTGGGGCCCCTGGTTTCCCACACTCTGTCACCCCCATCCAGGTCACTGGGGGCTGTGATGTGTGGTGTCGTCATGGCAATGAAGTGGGGGCAGGGCACCTAGGGCATGGAGCAAGACTATGGAAGTCACCAAGAAGGTGGGGGACCCTGATCCATCAGACCCCCAGGGCCACCCCTCAGCCGGCAGCCAGCAGCTGGGGGATGGGCTCAAAGGGTCCCAGGGACCATGGATAAACTCAGGGTCCACATACTTTAGGCAGGGATTGTCACTGTCCCCCAAAGCTGAGGCTGACATTGATGAGACCTCTGGCCCAGCCTCCCAGGCCCAAGCTCCCGAGCCCATTCATCGGCTCTTCTGGGACCTTGCTGAGGTCAGCTCACAGTGTGGCTTTGAGCAGGCCACCCAGGATGTCCTGAGACTCTCCGCCACTAGCCCATTTTCAAGCCCCATCGTGGAAGCTGAAGTGCATCTCACCATGGAGAATGAGACCCTGGCCCTCCCCTTGTGCATGCGCAGGGATAGCTCCAATGACCTGCTCCAGCATGGAATCTGCCGCTCCTGGCTTCAGGTGCAAGATGAGAGGGAGGGCAAGACTCCAGCTAAAGTCCTGGTAGGCTGGGGCAAAGGGCCCAGCAGCATCGACCAGACGGCCCCCTTAGGCAATAGGACAGGCCAACAGGTTCTCTGTTTCCCTTCAGAGGAGAATGGCATAGCTGCAGCCCAAGACCAGGGCCAGGGCAAGTGGCCAAGTCTGGCTCAGGCTCCTCCAACTCCAACTCAAGCAAATACTCCAGCTCTGAATGCCACCCCAGTGGTTGAACCTCACACCCCCAACCCCAACCAACTGACCAGTAGCACTACCATTACCAACGGCTTGTCCCAAGACTGGCTCAGGGAGTTTGGCAACCAATTGTCAGAGCTCTTGGAGTCTTCCAAAGTGGTCGCCTGCCAGGACAAAGTGAAGTCCAGTTCTCAAGAGAAGCTTGCCACTCCAGGATCCCCTCCAGGACCAATTCCGCAAGAGTCCCTAGACCATGCCCAGGAGCTCGAAGTTGTCAGAAGACAAGTGTTACCCAAGCAGCCTGAGAACCCAGCAGAGAAGTCACTGTTCAATATCTCCGAGCCAGACAACTCAACGCCAGTCTTAGGAATGCCAGGCTCCCCCAAGTCCCAGAGGTATAGCCAGGAGATCTCCAGCTCTCAGCCCGAAAAGCAGCCCCTCAATGTCAGCAACGATACCTGCTCCAGGCTGCTCTCTTCCCGCCCAGTAACCTGCCACAAGCAGTCCCCAGTCCAGTCTCCCAAAGAAGCCATGCAGAGTGCCCCCTCCAGTGCTCCTACCTGCCAGCTCCAGGGCATGGTGGAAGACCATGTGCTGGTGTTTGATATGGCCACAGGCAGCACCAGGATGGGACTGCTGTGCCATGACCCCATGGGTTCACGCGCAGTACTGGTGGGCCTCGCACCCAAACCCTCATCCGTTTATGCCCCTGAAAATATGCCGTCCACTCAGCCGTTGGCCATGCCCACTGTCTCCGCTGACAGCAATCGCTCCATCTTCTGGCCCGTCACGTCAGTGCTGTCCACTCCCGTGCCTTCCAGCCTCTCATCTGGCAGCTACGGAGAGGTGGCCCTGGTTCCCAAGGAGGCTAAGCTCAACCTGGAGTCACAGGCCTCCCCTGGTACTAAGACACCCATCAGGGTGGGGATGCTCACTGGGCCCGTTCCATTGGGGATGCCCCACCAATTTGATGAGAGGACATTGAACCATGTCCATGATCCTGGCCAGTCCAAACCTGATGCTAAAAAAAATGAACCTAGTCGCACCATCTGGATGCTGGATGCTTCTGGGATGCAGGACACCTCTATGGGCCAGGCCAAGAAACTGCAGTGGATGAACTCAGAGCCGACCCCAGAGACTGCTCCTTCAGCCAAACCCCAGGAGGCACCCAAATCCCTGCTCCAGGAAGATCTAGGCAGCCACAACTGGAAAGAGGTCAATATGGCTCACCCTGACAACTCTCAGGATGAAAGCACTAGGCAGGCCCCCCTGGGTGGTCAGTCCCCACTAGCTGAGCAGCATCTCCTCTCTGAACAGCCACCTCCAACTGGTCAGCCTCCTGCTGCGCAGTACCCCTTCCCCAGGCAGACACATCCTTCTGGACAGCCCCCTCTAGCTGAGCAGCCCCCCTTTGCCAACCAGATCCCATTTCCTGGTCAGCCCCCTCTCACTGGGACCCCTCTTGCCGGGCAGCTTTCTCTCACTGGACAGCCTCCCTTTTCCCAAGAACTCATCTCCAAAGAGCCCATCCTCTCAAGAGGCCCCCTCATCACCAGAGAGGCTGGCCAGGCCTCCACCCTGTGCCAGGAAGGTGAGGCCTTGGGTCTGCCCGCCCATGTGGGGGTACTTCGGGTACCCCAGGACCTGGAAAAGGCCTGTGTCTATGTAAGCAGAGAAGAGATGGGCATCAGTGCCCCTCTAAGCTCCAGTACACATTGGCTCTCATCCTGGCAACCGGGCAGCTCTCACAGGGTCCTGGAGGAACAGCTGTCCCTGATCACATTCACCACACCTGGCACTGGCTACAAGGTCTTGCCCATGGCCATGGTGGGCACTATGCCCCAGTGTACCCGGCTCAAGCTGACAACTGAAGACAGTACAGGCCCATCAGTGGTCACGAACCTTGGTCTGCTCAGCGACACCTACTACAGCTTGCCAGTCCAGTACCCACCGCTCTGCTCCCAAGCACAGGGCCGCTGCCAGGGCAAGGCAGCTGTGGTGATCGACACAGGCACAGGCTTCACCAAGTGCGGGCTGGCGGGGGAGGACCACGTTCTCAGCGTGGTGCCCTCACGTGTCCAGCTGCTGCAGCAGCCCGCCCGGGACCAGCCCAGGTATGTGATGCCTCAGAACAGAGGGGGTGCCTACACGGTGCTGAATCGAGGAGTGGTCTCCGACTGGGATGCCCTAGAGGTGCTGTGGCAGCATCTGTTCTACTGCAAACTGGGCATGAAGCCTGAGGAGCTGGCCGTGCTTGTGGCCGACTCGCCTGTCTCACCGCGCACCAACCGGGAGAAGGTGGCCGAGATACTCTTTGAGTGTTTCCACGTGCCAGCCATGCAGACCGTGCACCAGGCCCTCTTGGCACTCTATGCTTACGGGCGCACTACTGGCCTGGTGCTGGGCAGTGGCCATGGCACCTCCTACGTGACTCCCATCCTCACCGGGGGTCTGGCCCCACTTGACACCTACAGGCTGGATGTGGCCGGCGCCGACCTCAGCGAATACCTGTCTCAGCGATTGCTGGCACGTGGCCACTCGCTGCCCGAAGCAGGGCTGGTCAACCGCATGAAAGAGACCTACTGCTACGTGGCACTGGATATGAAAGTCGAGATGGCCCACCCCAAGGCCCGGGCGCAGGTGGACTTCGTGCTTCCGGACAAGCAGGTCATCACGCTGGGCTCTGAGCGCTTTTGCTGCCCTGAAGCGCTTTTCCAGCCCCATCTGCTCGGCCTCAACCAGCCCGGCCTCCCACAGCTAGCCCTCCTAAGCATCAGCCGGCTGGAGGCCAAACAGCAGGAGCAGCTGCTGGCCAACGTGGTGCTGGACGGCGGCAGCACCCTGCTGAGCGGCTTTCCTGAGCGCTTGGGAAAGGAGCTGGGCCCTCAGGCAACTGTCCTGGGCTCTCCCCACCGCGCGGTTGCCGCGTGGCTTGGTGGCTCCATCATGGCATCCCGGGACTCCTTCCAGAGCCTGTGGCTCAGCCGCCGTGAGTACGAGGAGGAGGGCCCATGGGCCATCTACAAGTACCATCTATGAGCACATAAAAGTTCTGGTTCTGCTTACTTTGAGCACTGCGGCATGTTTTAGGCCCAGGGGTGTGTGGACAGGGCAGGGGTCCCAGCATGGGGTCAGGGATGGGGCCCTTGGCACACCTAAGGCACACCCTGCCTATGCGCACGGGAATTCCACAGGTCCTGGCAATTCTACCCTTTCTAGAGCCCCCAGAGCCCCTTGGCATTGGCTGTGGTCTAACCTGACCTTTATTGTACCCCAAGGGCAAACACAGAGAGTGGCTGCTGTGGATTTTGCCCCGTTGCCCTGGCGACAAGTGCAATTACCCTTGATTGCCAGCTGGTTGCCATGGCAATTTCAAACATAATGTAATAACCCACACAGCCTGGAGTGAGTCATGATGGGGGGCAGCCCCCTCCCCTAGCTCCAGAGCAAAAGACTATTTGCCCTCCCCCATCTTGGGCTCTATACAGGGGGCTGAGGCCAGCAACATAGACCACAGCCAAATAGTTCCAAAGATGGCTGGCGACCTGGAGCATTTGTTGCCCCCAAGGGACAGTCCCTATTAGAGTTTGGGCTTCTTGGGGTAGCTGCCCAGTAATGCAGTTACTCCTAAAGTCAGATCCTGGGCTGGAGCTCTATGCTGGGTTGGTGGAGCCCCTGTCCACCAATCAGAACATGAGGGGGTATGGATGTGCTGGCCTTCAGTGTCCTGGGGCAGGAAGTAAGGGGAGAGATAAGTCTTGGCTCCTGGGGGAGGGGGTACACCTGAGCTAGGGGATGAGACCCTGGCCTGTTTTGTAGGTTCTGTGGATACAGAGGCTCACACCTTATCCTACCTCTCTGACTGCCCAGCTCAGGTGAACCAGAACAGTCAAGTTTGGGCTCCCTTCTCCTTCTCAACCTCCCAACCCAGGCAGCTCCTGCCTGCAGGGTGGCCAGGGTATAGGCCTCCTCAGGAGATCCTCATAGAGGCTATTGGGCAATGCCAAAGCCAATGCCAATCGCCTCTGCTCTTGTCCCAAGCTCTGCCTTGTGCTTGGGCCTCCTGTCACCCCTAGAAGCCATGGTTCTTGACCTTGTCCAGCTCTGAAAGTAGGGGTAGAAATGAAGCTCTGTCACCCAAATCCATGGTCCGGGAGAGCTGGAAGCATGGCATCAGCTGGTGTTGCTACTTCCTACCCAGAGGACAGCCTTGGATCGAAGCTGAGACCATGAAGCCCTTCTCTGGCTGGAGGCTGGAGGGATAAGCTATGTCCCGGTCCCAACCCCGGGTTCTGTCTTTAGGTTGTCTTCTCCACAAAGGACAAAGACCTGGTTACATCTCCCCACCACACACACACACACACCCCTGAGAGGACGGGGCTGCTCTAGGTGTGGAGACTAGAAGCAGCCAATAACATAGGGTCATCACAGTCCCTGACCACCCCCAGGCATGGTCCAGTACCTTCCCATTTCCGGCCCTCACACCCTGATTCAGTCTCCACAATCCAGAGGCCCGTGTCATGCAGGAAGGGGACCAGTGTCTCCAGGGACCAGTGTCTCCAGGGACTAGCTACCATGTCCATGCGCACATGCAAACAAGCATGCCTGGGTGCTCACAGAATGCGGACATATGTGCCCCTGGGCACCACTGCACACAGTGCTGCTGCCTTCTCCTTCAGCAGAAAAGTACACACAGACACACTCACACGTGTGCGCACACACCCTGCCACGTGCTCTCACCCACAGGCACGTGGAGTGTGCACAGGACCAAGAAGGGGTGGAGCACTGCCAGCAGCAGGCAGGGCTCTAGCAAGCCACCTCTTCCCCTGTCTATAAACCCCCTTCCAGCCGCTCCTTAGCTCAGCTGCTCCATGCCTGGATACTCATGACCTTCAGGAAAGACAGAAAACGTGTGACGTGCATGGGGTCAGCAAGCCATTGCTCAGCTGCACCATACAACTCCCAGAAGCATTGTTTCAGGGACAGTGGGCAGACAGCAGGAAGGACTGAGTGCCAGGCCATTCATTCACTTTGCAGACAAGAGCTAAGCAGACTGAGATGAAACACAGGCTCTGCCCTGCAGACACCCAATTTGTCAGGAGATTCCTACCCAGTGGTGGGGTTGGTGCTGTGACTGAGACCACCCAAAGGTAGCATCAGGCTGGCCTGGAAGAGGTTACCCAAAGCCAAGGAAGGGTGTGAAGGGCTCCTCAACACCCCCCTCCAGAGGCAGATTTTGACGGGCCTTGCTTGAGTGGTCTTTTTTTTTTTTTAAATATATTTTTATTGATTTCAGAGAGAGGAAGAGAGAGGGAGAGATAGAAACATCAATGATGAGAGAGAGTCATCCATTGGCTGCCTCCTGCACGCCCCCTGCTGGGGATTGAGCCCGAAACCTGGGCATGTGCCCTGACAGGGAATTGAACCTCGATCTCCTGGTCCTAGGTCAATGCTGAACCTCTGAGCCACACCAGCCGGGCTGAGCAGTCATTTCTCTGGCGAGCCTTCCAGCTCCAGCTCCAACTTCCTAACTTGGGGAGTCACTCACATCAGCACCCAGGAGGAGCCATGCAGGGGAGACTCAATATGGCAGAGGATTGGAGATGACCCCTCCCAGGATGGGGTCAGAGGCTCACTGGGAGAGTTGGATTGAATGTAGCCCAGCTCCAGGCATCGAGAAGCCTAAGTCTGCCCTTCAGATAAAGGCCTCAGGGCTTGTTTGGGGAACAGGCCAAGCACTGGGTCCATGTGGTTCCCTGACAGGGGGCAGAGAAATGGCCAAGGATTCCTTTAGAGCTTCTGCCTGGTAGTTCTCTGCCTTCTCCAGTGAGGGGCTAGGTCTGTCAGCCCCCAGCCAGAGAAGGCCAGGCAGGGTAGGGCTTCGTTGTCTTGGCTTGGATCTCCAGCTGCCCTCTGGGCCTGGGCTAGGTCTGTATCCCCATAGCCCAGACCAGGCCACAGATGGTGATTCTGCTCACGAAATGTCTGAGGATGATATAACTGGGAGAAAGAAGATTCCACACCATGCCATAGGTGCTTTTTATAGTTTGGGAAATTTGGTGCCATATAGCAGGGGCAGACTGGGAGAGCCACCCTGGCCCAGGCTTGGGGATGGCAAAAGCTTTGGCCCTGTAGGAGTGGAGGTTGGGGTGGGGAGGAGATTCTGCCTGGGTGGTCTTGGAGCCCTCACTGGCCACTGGCACGCCCCCTCCCCCCATGTGCTTACTATTCCCAGCTAGGGGATGCTAGTCTGTAGAGCAGCTTGCCACTTGTCCTTCCAAGCAGGTTCCACCCTTTGGGTCCTGTGCTGCTCCAGGGCTCAGGCTTTCCCCACACCTCCTACTCCCCAGCCCCTGCAACGGACACAAGAAGGCCCCTCTGATCTCTGCTGCCCAGTCAGTTCGAGGGCCTAAGGGAGACTCTGAGAGCCTACCCACGGCCCGAAGGCCAGTGCCACCCGTGCCCGCTGGCCTTGGAGTGTGGGACTCAGGCTCCACCAGGGCCGGGGCGGAGCCAGCTGCGGGAGGCCCCGCCCCCAGCCCGCCCCCGGCCCGGGATGCGAAATCGGTGCAGGCGAGCGGCGGGAGATGCTGAAGGCTCGCGAGCCGGAGCGGCTGCAGCTGGCGCCGCGTCTGTCCCGCGTGCCCGGAGCGGATTCTGCCCGCCGCCCCTGGAGCCCTCCGCGCCCCCGCTGAACCCGCGGTCGCTTCCTCCCCGTGATCGGCCGGCGCTGCAGGTGCGTCCCCCGAACGCACGCCGTGGTCTTGGGGGATTGGGTCTCTGGCTCGAGGGTCGGGACCCCGAGCGTGCGGGGACCCCGTGAGGACTTGGGGCCCCGGCACGGGCAGAGCACGCGGGCTCTGCAGACCTGGGGGTCGGCGTGCGGGGCTGAGCTAAAGTTCCCTGCCACCTCTGACAGCTCGGGGGGTCCCAGGGGAAGCCTCTGAGACTCAAGTCCAGGCGAATCTCCTCTACCCGGCCCCCCTCCCCCCTGCGTATCCCGGTCCCCCCGTCTCGCTAGGCTCCTAATTGTGAAAACATGAACCCGCAGACCTTCGTGGCGCCCCGTGGGGGTGGGTAGGGGCCGAGGGCAGAGCGGTCCCTCCCGACGCCCAGAG